ATGGTTACGCAAAAAGAAAGATGTTATCATCCTTTAAGTGTTTTTTTCAAGAGGGGTTGCATTGCTGGTTTTGTCTAAAATTGCTAAGAATTTATTTTTTTATTTTTTTTATTCTTTCTTTCATGTTTCTGACTTTGGCGTTAATGAACAATTACTACGAATATTTTCCACTTTGGCATTAGTAAATTCATACAAATCTAAAAAATATGATACTCCTAACTTTAGCGTCAATGAATATTTTTGTAAAAAATAAATTTGAAGAAGAAATTTTTTATATCATTTTTTCTTGTTTGTCCTTTATTATTATTTGCTCTTTTTACATGAAAATAAAAAAAATATTGCAAGAAATATTTTCAGTTAATAGTAATAGTTCACAGATTGAGCACATCTATAAAAAATACAAACACAAAGAAAAAATAAAATAAAGTGCGAAAGGCCCACAAAAAAATCAATGAAGACCTCAGATATTTTTAAAATTTTCTGTTATTAAAAGGGGTTTTGTTTGGTCAAATATCAAAGTAAAGTAGACACAAAAATTATAGTCAGGACATAAGGGTGTGTTTTATCAAAGATACCCCTAGCAAACACAATTTGGGTCTGTTAGGCCTAAAGTTTAGACCTGACCCACTCTTTTTTTCTCTTTGGGCTAGATCTAGCCCAGTCATGCTTGAAAGGTTTACACAGTAACACATGTATACAACAGTAACCAGTTAATTATTTTAGCAAGAAAGGAAAGAAACTTACCTAAGCGTGCTATTACTAGAAGTGAAGTAAAGGGAGACTGAGCTAAAAAAAGGGTTGAGGGGGACGGTGACTAGTATAGAATTCGCTGCCCCTTTTTTCCATACTTTTCTTTTTTTAGAATTTCTGGTAATGCTTTTTTCTTGATTTTTTTTTAGGGTTTCTCTCTAATCGTTCTCTTTTCAGCATATATTGAGATAAGCATTTATAATATAAAAGTCTCATTATTTATAAAAAGTAAACTCTCAATCAAACTCATTCTATCTTTTGAAGTTCAAATTAAAATCGAATTTAAAAGTAGAAAACTATCGTTATCTTAAAGTTAAGGATTATTTTGAAGATAAAGATAAAATAATAAAAATATATTGCAGTCTCTAGTTTTCGTGCAAGTTGACAAAATAAATAAATAAAATTTAATTTTATATTTTAAACCCCATAAAAATTAAATTAAAATTAGCAAAACAAAATTAAATTATAACAGTTCCCTGCAATCATTCCACGGTAGCTTTGAGTATAAAGGGATGGTAAGGTCTCCAATAAAAGATCTACATCAATTAGTTTACTTTACTAACTAATTCAAAAGATTTTAACCAATTCACTCGAGCAGGCCTAATTAAAAATTAATTTTCAATGCCAAAACAAAGAATATACAAACACTGTTTACATTTTTTATCATTAAGAAAAATATTAATTATGAACTTAACATTTGATGCATATATTTGTTAAAATAAGTAAATAATTATATGCATCAATAATATATGATAATGATAACAAAGAGTAATTAGAAAGTTGAGAAATAAATATAGAGTAAGAGATTTGGTCCAGTGTTGTGGAGAGCCATTTTTTTCTTTATTTAATTATATGTTAATTTTTTTTGTCAAGAAAATTAATAATTTTAATTCTATTGAAACAAAATAATTTTCTAGCATAATCCTTTATTTTTTTATTAATATTTTTTATCATAAAAAAATTAAATTGTTTGTTTTATGCCATTTATTTAATAAAAATATAAAAATAAAAAATTATTAAAAAAACAGATGATTTCAAATAAAGTTACAAAAAGTTTCTCTCTAATTAAAATAATTTTATCTTATTAATAAGTTTCTTTTTTTTCTAGTTTTTATTAATAAAATATTTAATTTTTAGATCACATTTCATAATTATCCTAAAAGCAAGTTTAAAGTAAAAAAAACCATGTCTTCAAAAAACATAACTTGATAGCAAAGAAAAACTAATTAAGGGACTGATACGTGTAGATACAATTTTAAGCACCTAAAATTAAAAAACTACACATGTACAAATATATGAATTTATTAAATATATGATCAGGTACAATCTTTATGTAATGTATTCTTTTAAAAAAAGAAGACAATCATCTGATTCTTCCCTTAAGTTTAATATATGATGACTTGATTTATTTGAAAAATTAAGTCAAGATTTATGATTTGCAAGAACGCAAATTCGAGTGTGTATTACAAAACAACGTTTGGTGATTTGATGCTTTAAATAGTACTTTTAATTTTTCTTCAAAGTGTTGTTGAAAGACTCTTGTGAAGTTTAAGCTTGATCCAATAGAGCTTAGCGAAATTTGGTAATTTGATGCTTTGAAAAATACTTTTAATTTGTCTAAAAAGTGCTGTTGAAAAACTCTTATGGGGCATTTAAACTTGATCCAACAGAGCTTCATTCTTTTTAGACTTTAAGCGTAGATGAAATTTTAGACTTTAAGCTTAGATGAAAAAGGTTTAAGAACTTTTGAGAGAGCTTCCTTGTTTGAAGAGAAAAAAAGCTTCCTTGCTTAAAGAGCTTGTCTTAAGTTGAGGCCTTTTATTTATAGAGATCTGTAAGAGCTCTCAAGTTCCTTTTCAATGTCACATGGCATAATTTTATTAGTTGATATTTATTGATAGGATCTTGTATTTATAACAAGATAACTTAACAGGATCTTGCATTTATGACAAGATATCTTGAATATCTTATCCTAAGTGTCAACCTTTTATTGGCCAAGAAATATATAAAGACTTATTTATTTTTCATGTCATATATTTCAATTTTACGTTCTTTCTTTTAAAACAAAATAACACGTGGTGAAATTTAGTTGGTAAAAAATTTATGTTTCTACGGTATGTTATCTCTTTAACTATCTAGTTCAAATTAAGAGAAGTTAAATTTTAATGAATTTTCTTATTAGATATGAATTACTTTTTTTGAACTAAATCAGAGAGCATTGATGAGAAGAGAACTTCAATTTTGAATCCAAATATTAACTCAAGGACTAAAATTGAAAATGGTAAACAAAAATGATAAAGAGCATAATTTTGGAAGACGAAAGAACCAAGTTCAAACTTACAGAAGGCACTATAAGATTTCACAGTTTTACCGACGAACAAATTCTGGCAATATGAGATTTAGAATTCATTGAAAAAATTTTAACCATCTAAATCACTGACGAAAAACATCTGTCAGCTTACCATTCATTGATAATACCGGATTCCATCATTGAGTTTGTCAGTAAAAAAAATATTACTGATGGTTCTACAGATGAAAATGAATACCGAAAAAAATTCTCGCTTGAAATATACCAACGGATTTATTCTGTTGATGATAGTGGCATATCTAGTAAATATTTTTCTACTCCCGGTTAAATGCCGACGAATGATATCCCTTTATAAATTTATTGGTGAGTGTGATATTTGCACCAAGCTACTGTGAAATGCTAATAGACTTTATCCATCTATAAATTCATTGGTGATGATGTCATTTCCTGCTCTATGTCAAATGTCAACGGATACATTCCATCTGTAAATCCCCTGGTAAGTATTTTTAATTTTTAAAAAAAATTATTTAGAATAAATAATATAAAATTATATAAATTAATAGTAAAAAAAACCAATTATGCAAATAAGATTTTATTAAACATCAAAAACAAAGAAATAAGGTTGAATAATATTCATTATAAATTCAATGTGTTTAAAAAAAAATATCAAGTTAGCATAATGACGGAGCTGGAAAAGAAGGAGAAAGAGGGGGAGGCTGGTTGTTATTTGGCCAAAAAGGAAACTCCCATGTATCACCACTCTGTCCAATCATATTCATGACCATTTGGTGTAATTGTTCATAATTCGACAAGAGTTGCTCGTATTTTTTGATGAGATTAGCCATGTGTTATTTCAAGGCCATAATATCCTCAGATTGGATGCTCGATACTGATTTTGAGCTCTCAAGTTTAGAACATTACGAGCTGCCCGCAAGTTCTCCGTCGTAGTATTAGAAAGCTCTTACACCTGATTTTTATCGGATCCACTAAACAATCTTACCTTCATCCACAAATCCAAATCAAAATCCGAATGGGTCAACGTATCGTTCTCATATCTCTCTCTCAACCGACTATTATAAGTCTCTTAAAAACGAAAAAAAAATTATCATATCCAATTCAATAAAAATAATAACTTACAAAATAAAATAGTTGAACAAACATACTATAAAGTGTTAAGCGCAGTTGTCAACAAACCGTTGCATCTCTTTCTGGCGGTCTTGACTCCATATGTGCATCTCAACAAACAATTTCATTGGGCTCAGCTCATGTTCAAGAGATGTAGTCTGTAAGAAAAAAAATTAATAAATTAATAATAAATTATTTAACAATATATTTTATTTAAATTAATCTTACCATTCGTTTTGCATATACAACAAATGAAATGGAGCCGCTAGTGTGTGTTGTCACCAAGCCATGAATTAAAATAAAATAAGTTATGTTTCATTTAAAAATTTAATTTCATAAATTATTTAAAATAAAATAAATATCAATTAAAAGAATCATGACCAAATCTGATAAATAAAAAAATTCAATTCAGAAAAGAATAAGAGAAAATAAAAAAAATAAGAACCACAATTAATATAAAAATGAAATTAAATCAAATTCTAAAAAATAAAATTTTAAAAATTCAAAACAAAATATATATATATATATATATATAGAAATATCAAAAACTAAATTTAATATAAATAATAAATAATAAAAGGTTTTTTAATTTTTTCACAATTTTTTATAAAGATTTTTCTGTTTCTCATAATCAAACTAAATTTTTTTATTTAAATAATTTTTTAATAATAAACAAGCATAGTAAAAAATTTTAAACAACTTAAAAAAACTCGGTGCCGTACTATCTGAAAAGAAACGGTCACAGAGGAAGCTCAATATTACAAGGTAGGCTCTGAAATACTCATGAGCGAGATGTCCTTCACTGTCTCCTTTTTTTTTACCCTTTCTTACTGTGCTCCAGGAGCTCCAAAAATAGTGGTGGAGGCAGGGCTAGTGGGGTCTCTGGCCTTGGCCCTGCCAAAAAAAAAAAGGTAAATAATATTCCCCTCATAAATCCAGCAAAATTTAAATTTTAGCTAAATGCTAGTGAAATTTATATTGCTCCTTTAAAATAATTCCTGGCTCCGTCCCTGTTTGGAAATAAAGAAATGCAAACGTACAAGTTTATACTAATATTTAATCAATGATAAAAGATTGAGTGTATCGATAAAGAAGGTGAGTTATGTGCAAACCTATGTCATTTTCTTCTTGGTTTTCAACATACTTTTCAGCACGAGTATTAAAATTATTAAAGTTATTTACCAAACAGTGGGCAGCTCTAGTGCTGGCACGTTGTTTTTATTATTATTATTATTATTATTATTATTATTATTATAAATATTATTATAAATATTTAAATTAATTTATATATATATATATATATCTGGATTAATTTCATAAATTTAAAATTAACAACCACATATCAGCGGCTTTTTAGTCAATAAAAACAATGACAACCTAGGCTAATTACACAGAAATTAAAAAAAAAAAAACGAGATATATAATAAAGGGTGAAGATGATGTTGTGCGTGCGTGGAAGACACAATAAAAAATAAAAAGAGAATGTCTTTATATTTTATTTTATTTTATTTCATTGATAAGGGATGGATAAAATAATGAATATAAATTATTATTTTACTTTAGTTTAGAATGGGCATTGATTTTTTTAACTAACTCAAAATGATAATTTATTTACTCGTTAAAATCATGTTAAAATCATGTTAAGAAAGTATTTATAATCATTATAAAAAAATAATTTAGATAATATAATCAAATTATAATTCATTCAGCTATTAAATCATTTCTCTTAATATATTTCATAACAAAAAGTCAATTAAACCAATGATAGTTAAAATCTAATATAGTTGAAAATGCAAGATAATAATTTCATTAATTATGTATTTTTTTTTCATAATCATCATGTGCTCATTATTTTTTAATTTTTTAAGTTTGTTCCTAATTTTTTTAATTGTAATTTTTTTATTTACAATAAATTTTTTAAATTTTATCTTCATGGTTTTTTCCTGTTAGATTTTAGCTTTATTTTAAAAAAAAAATTCATAGTTTTTTCAATAATTTTATTATTTAAAATTAATCTAGATAACATTGAAGTTTTTTAATTGAACTCAAGTTCATGTTTTAGATTTACTTGATTTTAAAAAAAAAAAACTAATATTTTCTAGTTTGAATCTTTTTTTTCTTGGTTTTCCTTAATTAAATTAGTATTATGTTGTTTAATAATCTACATAGACTGGGATGTGGTTCTTTTTCTTTTCTTTTTTTGTTTTTTTATTTACTATTATTTATTTATTTTTTGTAAATATTTAAATTTTTAATTTAATCTTAAATTTTATGACTTAATTTTTAACTTATCACTTTTTTTATATTTAAAAAAAAAATGTTACAGCTCACGCCAACATGCGGATAATATATTTAGTGAAATCTAACCTCTCTTGATTACTTTCTCTCTCTTGGTTGTATTTATTCAGTTTTTCCTGTTTTGATTTATTTTATTTTCCTATTATTTATTATTTACAATACGCTTTTCATAATCATGATATTTCCGATTTGATTTACCACATGAGATTAATGTCTCCTTCTCATATGGAATTTGCTGCTTCTCTAAGAAGCTCAACACGGGCACTCCCCCAACACTTATGCTGGACCATAATGCCACAGAACTATCCCCGTGCTCGCCAATAATGGAGGCCTACCAAAGAAAAGGTAAAAGATTCAGAAACAATTTTTCCCACAAAAATGGCAGAAGATTTCACTGCTCATTAGTGACCACATGATCGCTTTTTTAACCAAAATGCACAATCATAAATAAAATTCTATATTTTATTTATTTTATTTTATTGCAGAATTCAATGAATTATCTGCCAACTTTCGCGCATCAAAGCTTTAAACCTAAACATTAAAGTAGCACAAAACAAATTTTAACATCTAAAAGAAACTGCAGTGGGGTAAAGTATGTGACATAGTAATTATAATAACAAGTGATTCTAACTAATTAGATATAGATTTATTATAATTAAATAAAAATATTTTTTAAATAAATTAAATTTTTATAGGAGTTTAAAAAATCAAATTAATCACTCTTAAATTTTTACATATTGGAGTTTTTGAAAATTATTTTTTTAAATAGCTGTGGAATCATTATTCCAACCATTAAATTTTTATATTTTTAAAATATCATCTCAAAGTCCTAATTTTTGCAATTTTTTATAATTTTTCTTGTTATTTTTTTATTTCTTGTTATTTTTGAATTTTATGCTTGCTTCTTTTATAATCTTGGATTCTTATTTGTTTTCTAGTAAAAGTAGAAATTGTAGCTTGTTTAAAATTTTATAAACCTTTTAAAAAAAGAGACCCTATTAATGTTATTTTAAAGAAAATAAAACCTGTAAACTTAAAATTCGGATTTTTTTGCTCATTAAAATTCTCATATATTTTTTTATTTGTTTTGTTGTCTTCAGTTTCCACCAACATCACTATAATTTTGCATGGAAAAAAAAAAACTACACGCAAGATCAGAGAACTCACCTGCACATCCTGGGCATTGACATCAAGGTGATCTGCAATCAAGAACCGAAACCTGGAACTATCCAGATTCGTACCAGATCCAACAACTCGATTCGAAGGAAACCCCGACAACTTCCACGCCACATAAGTCAACACATCAACAGGATTCGACACAATCATCAAGATCATCCCGGGAGAATACTTAGCAAGCGGAGGTATAATTCCCCGAAACAAAGCAACATTCCTCTGCAACAAATTCAACCTAGACTCCCCCGCAATCTGTCGAGCCCCAGCACTAACAATACAAAGATCAGATCCAACAGTGACGTTGTAATCAGTGGACGCCATAATTTTGGTGCGGGGTAAAAAAGCAGCAGCGTGTTGGAGATCAAGCATTTCTCCACGGAGCTTTTCAGGTTGGGCATCAACAAGGGCAATCTCGTCAGCTAAGTCTTGGGTTAAGATTGTTTGGGCTATTGCCATGCCTACATTGCCAGCACCAATAACAGAAATTTTAGTGCGGCGTTTGGTGGGTGATGGTGGGGATGTGTTTTGGATTGGTTTGAAGAACATATCAGATAGGTCCAGACCCCCTGGGCCTAAAGAAGAAGCTGAAGCACTCTTTTGCATGGTGAGAAGTGAGAGATGAGCAGAGCTCTTTTGTGTTGTTAGATGTTTTGTTCGCGGGGACAGGGTTTCCCAAGTTATTGTGGTATTTAAAGGGGAAGAGGGTGAAGGAAAAGGACAGGTGTTTCCTTTGAACTTTCAACGGTCAAATATTGTATCAGGCTTTCATGTACAAAATTGGTTGAATTGGACTTCAACATTTAAATATGTTCCTTTAGTTAGATAGTGTTTGTAATTTTTGTAGTATTTATTTTTTAAAATATTTTTTATTTAAAAATATATAAAAATATTATTTTTAAAAAATTTATTTTAATATTATAATATCAAAATTATTTAAAAATATTAAAACAAATTATTTAAAAAAATTATTTTTTTGAAAAATATGTATAGTACCCAGATAAATACACTCTTAATAAATAATTGTAGTTTTTTAAATATCAATAGTTATTTAGAAAAAAATTGAATTTCACAAACATGCTGCATTGTATTATTCATATTCAAGGAGAGGTTTTCTTTTTGTAAGAAAGATAGTAATTTTATCAATACTAAAATGATATTAAGAATTATTATTTTTTATCATTATAAAGACTCTACAGTTGTAGTATAAATACTGTATGCAATGCATTGTTCACCTTATCATATTCTTTGGATTTATTATGTAAATTTATTTTGTTTATTTTAATCCTCAAACTTTTTATTTTACATGATTTCATCTGTTTTAGATTAAAAAACAATTAAATCAAATTTGTTGATCAAAAATAAAATTAAAAGACAAAGAACTAAAGATAAAAAAAAAAGTACAATAAAGAAATGATGTTTCCAAAGTTATCATAAAAAAGTTGACTTTAGTCATCAGATTTTACAAATTATATCTATTCGATCCCTTAATAATTTTTTAATTTAATTTTGATATAAAAATTTATTTATTTTTATTTTTATTTTTTTAATTTCTAATTTGAAAGAAAAACGAGAGGAAGGATGCTGAATTTTAAAAATAAAAAAAAAATTAGTATTGACACTTCTTCCGACTACCAAAATAATTGATATTGATATCAAAATATTTTATTTAGCGAGGAAAGTTCAACTTAGTTGTTTCTTCTACTTAAAATTACCTTAAAATCATATTGAAGCTTTTGGTTTTTTTTTTTTAAGGTTATTGACGGGTTTTCAATATATTATGCTCTTTTTGAGGTGTTTTGGATCATAAAAAAAATATAAACATATGTTTTTACAGTCACAATAATTAAAATCTAGGAAATGTTAGGCAACTTGTCACATTTTAAAAAAAAAAACATTGAGGTGATAATTTGGGTCTTCACTTACACTGTATATATATCATTTAGAATTGGGTCTTCACTTATTCTAATATTTTCAAGGCAACCAAGATTATTCACTAATTACCTAGTCTATACTTATATTTTATCTCTGTATTAAAAATCATCAAATTAAAATAATGATTTTTATAAATCATTCTTGTTGCTAGTTACATTAAAATATGTATATGTATATGTATCTGTATATGTATTCATTTGATGAAATATCATTTGAATATTTCATTTCCTCTCATAATAAATATACATCTAATTATAAGCATATAGATTCAACAGGTAGGATTATTAAGTAATAAAGAGTTGATGTTGAAAATTAAGATAAAATATATAATTTGATTCATTTTAGAATTTATTATTTATTAAATAACTATAAGCAAAAAAAATAAATCATAAAAATAATTAGTTCATTTGAGAAAAGTTACAATATCAGGCTAAGTATCACAACTTATTTTACCCATCCTGAATATTGTCCTTTTCGTTTAGTGCTGGAATAATAAGTTATTAATAGATGGTGTTTTTTTGAAAAACATTGTTCATCCTGAATATTGTCCTTTTCGTTTAGTGCTGGAATAATAAGTTATTAATAGATGGTGTTTTTTTGAAAAACATTGTTCATTATATTCTTAGGATATGTCTTTCATCGATGAGAACTTGACACGATATGATAAAGTACTATTTAGTTATATCCAAATAAATAAATGGATTTCACAAACATGATGCATTTCTTTATTCATATTTATGCAGGGATTTTTCTAGAAATACAGTAAATTTATTAATATTAAAGATACAAAACAAATTACTATCTTGAAATTAATTAAATATAAAAATCGAAACCAAGAAAATAGAACTGACAATACCCTTCAGAGCATTGGTAAAACATAATTTATGAACAAAATCATGCACACAGAGGAGTCTCTTGTTATCATAGATCAACGAAGCACAGCCGCACCACCAGATCTTATCAATGAAAGATCTTAAACATATCTTAACCATCCCACGCTGTCAATAATTATCAGTCATTTTTAAATACAATATATAATTTCTTAAACTTTATTCGGACATAATCTTTCAAATTTTTAGAACATAAAACCCTTATACGAAGCTTGGAGTATATATCTTGTCTGCAAATCATGTCCGAAATGATCAAGCTCTGATCATAGTAGGAAAACAAATAAAGTTGTATGTATTTAAGAAGAATTAAATAAACACCACTTTATTAAAGTTGAAGCAAATGCTTCGTACATTTCTTGTATATTTGAATCATATAAAATATATATATAAAAAAAAGTGCGACGTGGATATAAAGCAATCCCTGTGAAATGCCGTTGTTGGGAAAAAAAATTAAAGTGCGACGTGGAAGCAATCCCTGTGAAATGCCGTTGTTGGGAGAATTTTATGTTGATAGTTTATAAAATAAAAACAATTGATTAACATAAATATATATATATAAACCACCTTTTCATTATTTATTATAATTAACTAAACAGTACATTGGAATGGAAGGTAACAGAGCCAAATCAATGGGCAGGCGGTTTCTTATGGATCCATTGCGTGCTTTCATGGCTATAGTTTCTAGAATCATGATGGAAGAACAAGCCAAGTCTGTGGGCAGCAGCAGTAACGCCGATTACTGCCTACAAAATTCTAGGTGGAAACCCTAACCTTTTTCCCCTTTGACAAGAAACTTCTCTCGGATTTCCCATTAACCATGATAAAAATATTATCCTCGAGTTTGGAAAGAGTCAATTCTTCTCCCACCGCCAAATTCATGGGCTAGTGCGAGCTCACTGCATCATTGTACAATAACAGACGATATATTTTTATATTTTCACAGTCTTTTCAAAAAAGTTTAATTTGTTATTTTAAATTAATATGTTCTTACATTTTTAGATAATTTTAAAACAAATATTATTTAAATATACTTCTAAATAAAAACCTCTTTAAAATATAACTACAACCTCCTTCTCAAACACCCTAAGTACTGTCCTCGTTTATGTTGCGGCAAAAATGGTAGGCCTCGTTTCCAAAGAAAGGCTAAAAAGACTAGGCTAGGGTGTGTTGCAAGATCTTGACTTCACAGATTTTGACACGTGTATGCTTCATCCAAGAAAAGCAAACTTAGGTTACGAAAAAAGATGCCACGCAAAGTCCTTGAATTGCTAGAAGTAATACACACGTTTTTGTGGAACATTGACCGCTCCTTGCATGAGTGGGGAAATGTACCTTACCTTTATTGACGATCCCTCGCGATGCAGTTAAAAATTAAATACATAAGAAGAAAAAATTGTTACTTTAAGATTTTTAAAATAAAAGTTGAAAATCAACAAAACTGACCGTCCATTTTATTAAAATAGAACAAGGAGACATGTCATTCAAGTGCGTATGTGACGTGTTATCTATTGATGTATTTTATAATCAAAGGCGGTAATTAAAAAATCAGTTTATAAGTTTTTAAATTTTTAAAATTTAGAATGCGTTAAGGTGGAAGATGTGATTGCTTTTTTTAAAAGATATAATTATAAACTAGCCCTCTAGAAATTAAAAATATATGTTTTGTGTAGATTCCATTGAAAAAAGTTAAAGTCGTCTTCAAACCAAACACCCTTTATTTTTAAATCTAAAAATACCTAAAGATCTAAAAATCCTCAATTACAACCCCTAAAAGCCTTTAATCACTCTAGAATTTAAAAATCAAACTGAAAAAAAATTATAATACATGATCTCATATGTGGTGTAATTTTTATGACATACTTAAAGATGAATCATTTTACAAAGGGATTAAATATATAAAATAAAAACTTTAGGAACAAGAATTTATTTGTTTTTTCCCTTAAGGAATGGTAAGAAAAATGCATTGTTCCCGTGACATCCTGACATCCAGACATCGTGGTGAGAAATTAAAAAATATATCTCTCAATTAAAAAAAAATAGATATCCAACATCTTGTTTTTTTAGAGAAACAAGGTTTTATTGAAGGAGTCGTCACCTGGTATTATGATCACTAGAAACCCTAACTAGTCAACAAATATTCTATGACACGAGAATGGTTACGTAAAAAAAAAGATGTTATCATCCTTTAAGCATTCTTCCTAAAAGAGGATGCATTGCTGGTTTTGTCTAAAATTGCTCAGAATTTATTTTTTTCTATTTTTTTTATTCTTTCTTTCATGTTTCTAATTTTGAAGCTAGTGAACATTCTTGCAAATATTTCTCACTTTGGCATTAGTAAATTTACACAAATCCAAAAAATACGATACTCCTAACTTTAGCATCAATGAATATTTTTGTAAAAAATTAATTTGAAGAAGAAATTTTCTATATCATTTTTTTTCTTATTTATCCTTTATTATTATTTTCTCTTTTTACATGGAAGTAAAAAAAATATTGCACGATATATTTTTATTTAACAGTAATAGTTCACGAATTGAGCATATCTATAAAAAAATACAAACACAAAGAAAAAATAAAATAAAGTGTGAAAGGCCCACAAAGAAATCAATGAAGACCCCAAATATTTTTAAAATTTTCTGTTATTAAAAGGGGTTTTGTTTGGTCAAATATCAAATTAGAGCAGACACAAAAATTATGATCAGAATATAAGGGTATGTTTTATCAACGACATCCCTAGCAAACACAATTTGGGTTTGGTAGGCCTAAAGTTTAGACCTGACCCACTCTTTTTTTCTCTTTGGGCTGGATCTAGCCTAGTCATGTATGAAAGGTTCACACATGCATACAACAATAACCACTTAATTATTTTAGCAAGGAATGAAAGAAACTTACCTAGACGTGTTGCTACTAGAAGTGAAGTTGAGGGAGACTGGGCTAAAAAAAAGGGTGAGGGGGCGATGACTAGTATAGGGTTCGCTGCCTTTTTTTCCATGCTTCTCTCTTTTAAGATTTCTGGTAATGATCTTTTCTTGGAATCTCTTATTTTAGGGTTTCTCTCTAATCATTCTCTTTTTAGCATACATTGAAATCAATATTTATAATATAAAAATTTCATTGCTTATGAGAAGTAAAGTCTCAGTCAAACTCATTCTCTCTTTTAAAGTTTAAATTAAAATTGAATTCGATAGCAGACGACTATCACTACCTTGAAGACAATGATTATTTTTTAGATAAGGATAGAATGATAAAAATATATTGTAGTTTCTAGTTTTTGTGCAAGTTGACAAAATCAAAATAAACTTTTAAATTTTTAATTTTTAATTTTAAACTCTATAAAAATTAAATTAAAACCAGTAAAACAAAATTAAATTATAACAGTTCTCTACAAGCATTCCACGGTAGCTTCGAGTATAAAGGGATGGTAAGGTCTGCAATAAAAGATCTACATCAATTAGTTTACTTTACTAACTAATTCAAAAGATTTTAACCAATTCACTCGAGCAGGCCTAATTAAAAATTAATTTTCAATGCCAAAACAAAGAATATACAAACACTGTTTACATTTTTTATCATTAAGAAAAATATTAATTATGAACTTAACATTTGATGCATATATTTGTTAAAATAAGTAAATAATTATATGCATCAATAATATATGATAATGATAACAAAGAGTAATTAGAAAGTTGAGAAATAAATATAGAGTAAGAGATTTGGTCCAGTGTTGTGGAGAGCCATTTTTTTCTTTATTTAATTATATGTTAATTTTTTTTGTCAAGAAAATTAATAATTTTAATTCTATTGAAACAAAATAATTTTCTAGCATAATCCCTTATTTTTTTTATTAAGATTTTTTATCACAAAAAAATTAAATTGTTTGTTTTATGCCATTTATTTAATAAAAATAAAAAAATTATTAAAAAAATAGATGATTTCAAATAAAGTTACAAAAAGTTTCTCTTTAATTAAAATAATTTTATCTTATTACCAAGTTTCTTTTTTTCCTAGGTTTTATTACTAAAATATTTAATTTTTAGATAACCTCTCATCATTATCTTAAAAACAAGTTTAAAGTAAAAAATTCATGTCCTCAAAACATATAATTTAATAGCGAAGGATTTGAGATCTACGCAACAGGTCTTGAATTCAAGTTAAGATATATAGTTCTTGTAAGAATTTGGAACAGCTCTGGTGGGATTTCCTTGAATTCAAAAAAAATTTAAAAAATTACATTATAATAATTTTAACTTAAATGTATAAAAGATATATATATATATACACACATGAAAGAAAAAAAATTAAAACCCTATTCGTCATATATCATACATGATGTACATATATTTAAACCCTATTCATCATGCATCATAAATTAGATTTTAGATATTCACTATTCAAATATTATTTATTATTCAATATAAAAAAAATATAACACATGCAAATGGTGCGTGTACGTGTCTTTTTCTTCACTTGAAAAACGGTGAAAATTTTGAAAAAGGATGAACATTTAAAACGTGTTTTTCCAAATACATGTTTTTATAAAATCATTATAAATTTGAAAAATAAAGAAATAGTTTTAATATTATATTTGAATAAAAATTTACAGTTTGATTTTTTTTATTGTAATTTTTTTAAATTAAAGTATTATTTTGTTTCTTTATGAACACCCCTAACTGTACGAATAATAAATATTCATCGCATTAGTCCCGATTCAAATGCATTAATATATAATTTTGAAATTCAAACCATCAGGTTAACTCAGTATCCAGCTGATCCAGCATCGGGCCAGATTTAAGGGGAAAAAAAAACTTAGGTGATCCAGCTGACTTAGTGGGCTGATCCAGCTCTTCAATGGACTGAGTTAAAATTCAGTATCAATTTATTGATTTTTTTATTAAAATAATATTATTTTAATTTTAAAAAATTAATCTAGATAATTCAAAGACATGATTAAAACATAGAACTCAAGCTTTAAACCGGATCGAATTTAAAAATTATACATTAAAGAGTCATTTATCATTGGAAAGAAAAAAAATCAAACCCTATTCGTCATACATCATACATGATGTACATATATTTAAACCCTATTCATCATGCATCATAAATTAGATTTTAGATATTCACTATTCAAATATTATTTATTATTCAATATAAAAAAAATATAACACATGCAAATGGTGCGTGTACGTGTCTTTTTCTTCACTTGAAAAACGGTGAAAATTTTGAAAAAGGATGAACATTTAAAACGTGTTTTTCCAAATACATGTTTTTATAAAATCATTATAAATTTGAAAAATAAAGAAATAGTTTTAATATTATATTTGAATAAAAATTTACAGTTTGATTTTTTTTATTGTAATTTTTTTAAATTAAAGTATTATTTTGTTTCTTTATGAACACCCCTAACTGTACGAATAATAAATATTCATCGCATTAGTCCCGATTCAAATGCATTAGTGTATAATTTTGAAATTCAAACCACCAGGTTAGCTCAGTATCCAGCTGATCCAGAATCGGGCCGGATTTAAGGAAACAAAAAAACTTAGGTGATCCAGCTGACTTAGTGGGCTGATCCAGCTATTCAATCAACTAAGTTAAAATTTAGTTGTAATTTATTGATTTTTTTATTAAAATAATATTTTTTAAATTTTAAAAAATTAATCTAGATAATTCAGATTAAAACCTAGAACTCAAGCTTTAAACGGATAGAATTTAAGAATTATACATTAAAGAGTCATTTATCATTGGTTTTGTGAAACATGAACGGCCAGGACCTGTTTTTTTTTTAATTAATCTTGTGAAGCAAGCACACACAAAGATGATAAACTCCTCCAACTTCCAACTGAAAATACAGGAGGCGCCGCTAATGGAACCACAGCTAGCAGAGCTGGAGCGACTTCAAACCCGAATCCTTAATCGAATATCCAAACTCGAGCTCTCTCTTTCTACCCAAAACAACAACAACAATAACCTCTCCGCCTGCGACGACGGCGATACCACCGAAGCTCGCCTCTCTACCATTCTCCGATCAAACGGCGTGAAGGACTTCGCCTTCAAAAAAGTCTCCTCCGATTACTACGATTGGCCTCTCGAGTCCCGACGCGACGTCCTCGGTGCCGCCTCTATTGATCACCTCTGTAAAAGCATCGTCTTGGTACATTATTATTATTCAGTTGTTGAGCTGTAGTTAGGTTTTTGAGGCTTTGAATTAAATTGGATATACATGTGCTAGTTAAAGGAATGTTGAATAAAAAGGGTAAAAGTACCGCTACATTAATGGAATTTATGAGGACGGAGAGTCAACAGAAAAGAAAGCATTTTGTTCATTTGCTTGGTTATGATTGTTGATGAAGGATAGAATGATGAAGACCTTGCCTAAATGCATTTATAATCACACAGCGTATATTGCTTGATTAACTTTGTCACATTTGTTGGCTGTAATCTACAGATTGCATAATTATCGTGTTAAGTGAATGTATGGATCGTGGCGTTAGAAATGATAACATTTATTAGTTGTTCTATATTCCTTTATCATTACAGACAAGGAACTGAATGAGTGAGCACCTATTTTGCATTCTTAAGGATTGTTCTTGTTGCTTGGACACAAGAAAAACAAGCCTTGCCAAAGGAGAAACAAGATAATTCTTATTCTAAAGTGAAAAGAGTTCAATTTAATATTTGATTAGTTTGAGAACTCAAAGAAAGCAGATTTCTTTTTTCATTCTAATTTTTAATTTAGGACATAAATTTCTAATATAAAATGATAAATGCAATTAGACCTTTTCTTATGTTTACTCAAATTGCCTAGCCGTTCGTTTTTTATTCCACACTATTTTTTTTTTTTTGAGTTATCAGTAGAGTTTTAGTTTGATAAGACTACACATTGCATAGTCTTTCGTGATAAAATTTTTGTACTATTTTTTGCTTGAGACAGGTTGGAATATGTTGTAAAATAGGTGCTCTGTTTGAAAGTATATGTTAACCATCACAGGAGTAATCTGATTCCTCGTGATATGATTTGGATACAACAGGATTTCACGGCAATCAATATTCATTTATTTTTATTGCTTTGTCTTGGCCATAGTACTATCAAATTCTTTTCTGTCAACCTCGTCTTGTAAGGGCATTATTCATCACCTGCCTCCTCCGGTATCACTTTGAATGATAACTGACAAATACTATTAAAACTTAATATTGAACTTTCTTCTTTTCTTGCAGTATTAGTATTAGTTCATGTAAATTCTCCTAACATTTTCTGAATGTTGGACTGAAGTTCATTATTTTCTCAGGTTAATACCCAGGCCCCATCCAATATCACTGACTGCAGTGACTGCAATAATTCGAAGTATTACATAGTTGTTGTTCAGGTATCTTGCTTTCCCATAATCCACATTACAGCTTACCATTTCATATGATTCACGAACTATCTTACAAGACAACACCTCTTTTACTGCAGTACACTGCTCGATTCAATGCTGAAACTGTTAAAAACTATCTGTATGCTCTCAATGATGGCAAGATAGCTAAAAAGCGATTCAACTGTAAGTTGTTATCCACTTGTTGATCATAAAGGTTGATATGACATCTTAATTCATAAATCAAATGGTAAAAATGGTTTATTGATCGGTCAAGCATACAAATTACAGGCTAACATGTCATTCTGAACACAGTTGTGTATTATTTCATGTCTCTAAAAACTGAGCATAAGACCAAATCAAGTCAGCAGTCCATAAGTTACGATACAATGCAATTCAATGATTATTTGATTTTTGCACGCACAAGAGGCTGGTAACAATTACAATTTAATTAAACAACTATCTGATCATGCAATAGAGGTGGGTGGACATCATTTTTGGCTCTAGTGACCAGATAGGTCATTCAATTTAATCTAAAGAAAGTAAAATAGATTATAGTTATAGCTTCGGAAACTACCCACTCTACACAGTCTTCTACATACTTTCCACTCAATTTGCAATAATAATGCATCCTTTGTCATGTTTCACTGTTTCTATTACCCTTTCCTTCTGTTGCATAAATGGCCCTATTATATTCTTGTGGTTTTGTTTACATTGCATGATATGATAAAAAAACATAAAGATTATTTACCAATGGTTAATAATAATAATTAACAAAAAGGCCTTCCATTTATCTGTGGAATGGAGTCCCGAGGTGATAGACTTGCTAGCCTGATGCTTCTCTGCAGTTAGGTATCATGATGGCAGAATATCTCATTGTCTTTAATCCTGCTGGTTCACATGCCTTTCTTTCAGCTGCATCTTCATAAGTTGCTGATGTCTAATCTACTTGCTTAAAATCTTCACATGCCTCCCAAGTTTCTTTTCATATAATGATTGTGGAAAAATCAGTTGATAATTTGAATTCTCTCCCTCTCTCATAAAATGGCTCATGGAAAACAATTATACATTAATTGATGAGAATACTGTTTCCTTGTATACGTGCATAGATAGGAATGGTTTGTTTTAGGAATGACCGTGAAATCTTGGATGTGTTAGACACCTTGTCTGCCTCTGCATCCACATAGGAAAGTTATAGCTGAAGTAATCATCTGCATACACTCATGGTTATAAAGCATATACTACAAGGGTTATGAATGAAAAGCTGAGAAAATAATGAGGATTGATGTTCATGGAAACTGAGTCATTGACTTTGAATTGTAAAGGGGTTATAAAGCAAACAAAAGAAACAACATGTAACACTCAATGAATTGTGCCAAGTAATTTGTGTGTTGGTAAAGGAGTTTTAGTGCAGGATGTTGCGTCATCTTTTAATGATCATTTGTTTGTTTGTCTGCTTGCTTGTTTATTTTCTACTAGCAAAATCTGTATGTCTGGACATTGTAAAATCATCTGGGAATTTATAATCTTGACTATTATGCATGATTTTGCACCAAAAGAGATTTCAAGTTTGGCTGCAAATTGCAACATGTAATAAAAAGCTTAGTCTCTTTGAGCTTAATGTGATTATTTAGTGAGGCAATGAAATATTGTTACATCTTTTAACTTTGCAGTGAGGCTTGCCCCTGAGGAGACATCAATGAAGCTGACAGGATACGGGCACAATGCGGTGACATGTATTGGCATGAAAACCAACATTCCGGTGAATATTCTCACTATTAGTTCTCAATCTAGGAAGTAGGAATGTACTTATTAGTTGCTATATTTAGCCCTTCAATTAAGTATTCTTTTTCAAGTCATTCTAATTTTATATATCTTTGCTTACAACCAATCTCTTATTGGAATTTCTACTTCAAAGTTCATCTTTGCTTACAAACATATTGGTAAACTTGGAAAGGAAGATCAATCGCTAAGCTGTAAAGTGTAATGTAAAATGCCAGAATAAAAAAGTTAGGATTGATCCTCATAATGTCTTATTTGATTTCATCCGATTTTTTTAACTCAATTGCCTTTTAACTTCATCATAGTTTAAAACATACCTGAGATCTATTTGACTCGTGTTTTCCAGACAGTACATACATCAGTGTTCTGTCTTGCATGATGCAGCAGAACAAATCGCCTGGGTAGACACTTATCCTTGTCTTTTTTATGGGTGGTGTGGCTGTTTTGTATACAGAGTGTCTGATAAATTGGCCCAAGAAAAAAAAACAGAGAATAGTAGAGAAAAAAATAGTATTCTTGATTCACTATTTTAAAAATAATGGCAACGTGGAACTACTTTCCATGAACCAAGTCCTCAACTGCTCAATTGCTGTGCCAGCTGGTGGGTATTCAAGTGGTCCATGGTTCCAAATAACGTGCCTGCTAAACTCAGATATGCTATAGTGGTTCAGTCAAATGATGGTCAAGATCAATGATTTTCTGCCCGTCGGACACTAGGATAAAAATTGGGTAGACACTGAAAGTTGAGTTGTCCGCATAGATAGGCCTGAGCTAGCTGGAAATTTCTGCAGCGAATGGCTGTTGACATGTATGCGTGTCTCTGTAATTTTTGCACATGTATTCATGTAGGGAACACCATAGAAGGTTATGGTTGAGGTTGAAGCTCACCAAAATTGTTTGAAATTGGCAGAAAGGAGATTCTGAAAGCCAGATACGGACAAGCATGTGGATATATAAATATATTTAGATAGAGGATTATGATTATCTTGTATTATCAGTAATTGGATTTGAGGATCGACGTTTTGATTGCAGGTGATTTTGGACGAAGCAATTCTAAGACTCAATCCCGATTTCTTCTGGTTGGGTGGAGGAGAGATTGATTTGAAGCTGGGGATAAGGACTTCAGAATTTATTGATTTTGCTAAACCATTCATTGTCAGCTGCAGTGGCCCATGATTAAAACAAAACGAAATTATTCTTGGACGAAGATGAAGCAAGAACAGACACGATAGTAATGTTTGAAGTAGAAACTTTACTCTGCACAGTTTCATTGACTATTGGAATTGGAATGAGATTCAATTGGGAGATATTATATCAATATTTAACATGCAAGCATTTGGTTACAGGTTTTCATTGGATGTTTTGATCTCAGGTTGATCCTAGAACTTGTTTATATGTTATTTATATATACATGTTTATCCATATGAAAAATTTGTTAAATGGAGCGCATTATTTTCAGATAGAGGGGCATCTTTTGGGAGAAATACTGAAAATCTCACCCATAAGTTATTTTGTCATCTTCCAAATTTGTAGAACACCAATCCTAACAAGAGCAAGACTGCAGGTCCTTAATATATAGTGCTCATGGAGCCTGAAGTAGCGGTTTCAGAGGCATGACTCGTAACGGTATCTCACGGAGGTTAGCTCAAGTTTATATTTTTCCTGTATGGCTTCCTCTGTAATCATTTTCCTCTGACTGCATGGTTTCCTCTGTATCATTTCCTAGCATAGAACGTCCTTGCCTCTTCAGTCTCTGCCCAAACATCAACCAAATATACATCCATTTAATCGAATATCCTTAACATTTGTTATAGATGCATGTTCATATCAAATGTAGTAATCAGTCTCGACATGTAATTAAGCAAATTCGTACTATATGCTATTCATGCTCTCATGGCTTCTTACGACGCGTGCATGAGAAAACCAATTAATCTACTGTGCCCGCCTGATGAAGGACATGGCGAGGACCTATGGGCCATGAGTCATCGCGTGTATATATAATAATATTCTTTTGCTTCATTTTATTTTGTTTGGACCATTTGCAGGATGGTTGGTGAATTTATTTGGTGTTTGAAGCATGACTTGAAAAAAATGTTACTTAGAATGTTTAGTATGGTTTATGCAAAATGACATTTAAATTTGATTTATAATTTAAAAGTTGTTTTGTAATAAATAATTTGTAATAAAAATAACTTTAAGTGAGAAGGGTGTTTGATAAGAATGACCCAAAGCAATCTTTCTAGAAAAAAAAAATGGTGTAAGTTAGAATTTACAAGTAAAAAGTAAAAAGTTTTTAAATCAAAGTTTTAACTCGGTTTTGTAATAAAATTTTAATTTAAATAGAAAGTATCTTTAATTAAATATATATTTTAAATTTCTTTGTAAGTTAATTATTTTCTCCGAGCAAGGTTTCAGCATCTCTCAACTTTGTTCTGTGGGGTTTTATGCGTTGTGACGGAAGATGCTCAACGCTGCCAGTACTAGCAGCGGTGGTTCAGCGAAAAATAAAAGAAAAAATAAAAAGAAAGAAAGAGAATGCTGCTAATGTATTCGGTTCAAAGGGAAAAGACACGTGATTCTCCATTGTTAAAGTTACACCACAGAAATGACAAGGCACCAATAGAAAATTGTCAGGAGAAAAAAAAAGTCATTCATGAGTCCAGTGATATTAAAAAATAATATAAATTTATTTTTTAAATTTTATTAGGCCTTCATTGATTAAATAATTAAGAATTTAAATTTTATTACACTTGTATCTTTTAAATTAAAAATTAAGTATAAAATAATAGTGGATTTATATAAGTTTTATGTTCAAAAAACTTTTATTTAAAATATATATTAAAAAATAATATGAAATTATTCTTGAAACTTCATCTAAAAATTTAAAATTTTAGATTAAAATGATTTTTTACTAGAAAATTAGGATAGACAAAAACATCATATGAAAGACAGCAAACATGAATAAAGATAAAACTCTATTGAAAAATGGTTTCAACCACAAGAATCATAATTCAAATTTTTACTACTCAATAATTTATCTATCCAATACTAAATATTAACTCTCTTCTAGGTTTCTTATTTATTAGTAAAACATGACCTAAAGAAATAATAAAAAAGTTATAAACTAATTAGAAAAGGAATCCAAATAGAAAATTACGGTAAATCCCGAACAATAACCTTTTGGCCTAATTTTAGGCTTTATCGATCTTAAATGACTATAAAAACCATATATATATAAAAGGCATCTAGAATATCTTATCAAAATTTTAACTTGATCAAACGGTCATATTAAAATTTATATTCATTACAATAAAATTGCGTATTTGATCGAAATCTCATATGTTAATCTTCCCATGTTGAAAACATCTTATCCTCAAGTTTAAATTGTTTTTGTCTCGATCTTCTATATGTCATATCAAGACTCTTAAACTCTATTTCTTCACTTAAGGTGTATCAATCTTCCCATGTTGAAAACATCTCATCCTCAAGTTTAAATTGTTCTTGTCTCGATCTTCTATATGTTATATCAAGACTTTTAAACTCTATTTCTTCACTTAAGGTGTATAAAAATTCTATATATAAACTTTAACAAGTCATTCATTAACACATGTTGTACCCATTTAATCCTTAAACAAGTTTACTCATGTGATGATAGAAAATTTATAATCAAAAGAATCAATAATCAATAGTCTAAATCAATAAAAAAAAAAATGTTAAGCACCTTCCATGTTCTCTTTCGATTTAACACTTAACTTATCAATTTGGATATTATTAATGACATTATCGCTTCTCTTTACTGTCAATTTTTATGGTTCCATTATAATCAACATAACTATCATAAATTAATGAAGAATATCAATTTACATCTATTTTATTATAAACAGAATCACCAAAAACCACTCCCTATTTTTTCTCATTAAACCAATCAATAAACTTCTCCACATGGAAGATTCCTCTTAATTCAAAGAGTATTATCCATAGCCCTAAATCTCCAAAATAATCATCTAGACCAAAGGCCAACTCTATATTGTTCTCTCCTCTAAAATAAGGTTTCAAAGTTATTCATAAATTTGTGACCACTCTCCTCACAATCCATCAGGATTATCTGTACTAATTGTCGAGTCAATTATATAATTTTTTTTACATATCTTGTATCACTAGGTTTTGAACATTTTTTTACAAGGAAAACATGCTTCCATCCATCATTATCCCATCACAAAATATTAACCACTAGAAATTATTGGATTCTAATACCAACGAGAAAAACAAAAACAACATGAAAAAGATTGCAAGCACAAAAATAGATATAATTTTGTTGAAAGGGGCTTAACCATGAAAACCATAATTGAATTTTTTATTACTCAATATTTTCCCTAATCAATACTTAATATGAAAGCTCTTCTAGATTGCTTTTATACTATAACAATATCCTAAATAAAATTAAAAAAAATAATGAAAGAGTTCTTAATTAAATAGTAAAAAGAATTCTAAAACAATTAGAAAAATACAGCAAAACCTGCATAGTGCTTTTTGGAGATAATTTGGAAGCCTTACCAACCCAAGATGACTACAAAAATTCAACTAAAAACGGTCTCTAAAATATTCTAGAAAAACTATCATAAGTTCAACAGTTGGATCAAAATTTAGTTAGAATTCATTTCTCTTCTAACCATGATTAAATTGCCAATCGTTAGAATGTAGTTTTTAATTTCAAAACACTATCAACTATCATGTTAATGGATATAACAAGACTATTTTATAGAACTTCACCTTATAATTTAAATTTTTAGATTAAGTCGTTCAATTATTAGATTAATTCATTGGAAGTCCTTCGCCGGCTTTGACTAAATCCTCTAGTTTAGCGCAAGACAAGTTAATTTTCGCGCGTCAAGGTCGTTGTACCATAGTGATTAGCGACGCGGGCCTCTTACGCTGGCAACCAGGGTTGGATCCTGGCAACCGTGTATTTTATTTTTCAATTAATCCCTTCACGGATTCATTCATTTAGCAGTGGTTCCGGGTTGCAAAGTCTACTAATTTTGAAGAGGGCAAAAACCCCTCCACGACGGAAGCCCGGTACTGCATTGTTACATCCGCAATAATGTGCAATGGCAACATCCCTGATGCTATGGCACTACAATGATACCTGAGAGTTTTCTAACCACCAAATGGCCATCCCTCCAGAATGACCCCGCACCGGACTATCACTAAGGCCTCAATACATTCAACGTCTTCTGGAGTCAACGACTTGACCTCATTTTCACATTTCAGTTGGATTAATACTATTTATTTTCAAGATAAAAGCTGAAATAGAAATCATGAGATTCAAAGGCATCCAGTGAAGAAGTATTAAAGATGATTTAAGATTGAAAGGATTTGTCAAGCTTATATACATGACCGGAAATATATGCATATTTAGGCAGAATAAAGAACTATTGACACAAGGCGATGTAGACAATAGTTATGAAATCAAATTTGGTGAAACCAGGAAAGAAAAGAGGCAACCACATATGGCTACAGTGGAATCTGAGTTCCAAAAGTGTTCTCTCCGCTGTAGGTGACATAGAGAAACCCATCTTCATCCTTTTTCTCTTCATATATGGCAGACATGATAGCACCTACAGACAACAAAACAGATGACAATTCCATGCACCTTTACCAATCAAAATGCCAATTACAACATCTAAATGAGAAAGACAACATATGTGCATGACTTTACCTGTTGGTGGGAGAACATTATCCACAAATATAAAGATTGCCTTTTCTGCGCTCAACTTGATCCTTTTGCGGATGACATAGACAAACTGCCCCACAGTCAGGTCAGCCGGAACAAGGTACCTGCAATTTTCAGGTTCAGAATATAGTGGGGGGAACTCAATATCATCAAGCATAGCAGCTTATCATAATCCAGGTAAAAAATAAAATATATATTTTCTAGGGCTAAACCGTTTAGAAGATGGCCATGATTAAAAGACAGAAAGATAAGCCATTCCACAGTAGTATAACAAAGATAAAAAGAAGCAAAATAAAAACTAGAGAGGTAGTTGGGTGCTGAATGGTAGGCTCAGATCAGTGATGTTTAGGCAATCAGGTACGGTCTGTACAGCGAAAATGGGCAAGAAGGGTCAGAAGCAGGAGAAAAAAATTACGGAGACACCACTTGTGTATTCTGACAATCATGAAATGCAAAGAAGAAACTTCTAGAAACCGCTAGCTAGAGAAATTTAATGTTCATGAGAGCAAAGTATCATGAAGACAGCAACCATAGGTTATATGGTGTTCCACTTTCATACAAGTAAAATTTTACATTCATCAGTTTTACAATCGTCCTTGGGTTCTATGAGGTTATGACCATCAA